TGTCCTTCCTCTTTCCTTTTTCTTCCCTCCCTCCCTCCCTCCCTCCCTTCCTGTCCTTCTCCTCCCTGACTGCCTCCTCCTCTTCTCTCCCTCCCTCCCTTCCCCTCCCCTTTCCTACATTTCTTATTGGACGATTCCCATCGCTGCAGCTTTCCTGTGTGCACATCCAGAGCCAGTGAGCAGCCACAGAGATAAACATACTACTTTTTGAGCTGTGAACTTGATTTTGGTCATGATGAAGGCCATCATGTAGCCGTGAGGGCCAGCAAAAACCCATCATTTCTCTATCCCAGCTATAGGAGTGTGGAAAGGTAGAAAATCTTAATGTTTAAAAAAAATTTGATTGAGAACATGTATGAAAATAATTTTCTCACAGATCTCTATAAAATACAACTGCCTGAATCGCCATCTAGCATGATGAACAGAGCAAAGAAATGGAAAGTATTCAAGTGTCCCTCAGTGGATTAACATCTCTAGAATGTGTGTGTGCGCACGTGCGTGTGCGTGCATTTGTGCGTGTGTGTGTGTGTGTGTGTGTATGTGTCCATGTGTGAGTGTGTGTGTGTGTGTGTGTGTGTGTGTGTGTGTGTGTAGGTCTGAATACTGTTCTGCCATGTTCATGATTAATGAAAAAACTCGAAGCAAAGAATAATATAGGTCTGTTCCATATGATGTGACTTGTGGAATCTGAAGAGGCCGCTTTCACAGACACTGGGAGTGGACTAGTGGTCACCAGAAACTGGAGGGGAAGGGAAGGCAGGCAAGGGGTTGGGACAGGTACTAACTTGGAGCACCTAGGAACAGCCTGAATGGGGGACTGCCTGGATCAGCTCAGCCGGGCCCGTGGCATACCTGTAGAGGCTAGTCCTGACTGGTAATTGATACAGGGAAATCCAGGCTGTTGTGCACAGCTCCATTTCCTGGACCAGGACTGGGTCCTGAGCTATATAGGGCAGGAGAAAGCTAAATGATGCTCAACAGGCAGCATGGTGCATTCTCCTTTCCTGCTGTTCTTGACTGTGGACAGGATGCGACTGGCTGCCTGTGAGCTTGCCTCGATGTTTTCTGAAATGATGAATTGTAACCCAGAATTACAATTCTGGAAGGAGAATCCCTTCCTCCCTTACATTGCTTTCCTCAGGACATTGGTCACACAATAGAGAAGAGACTAGGTATGTACATTTCAAAATATTTCCTGGTTCTACATCAATACAAATAATTTTTATGTTTTTATGTAGTATCTAAAAGCAGTAGACTGTAAAGCAGTGTGGGATTCAGTAGCATTTCCCGTGTTCCTACTTCTCTTCCAGAAAAGCCAGGGACAGCTAGGAGAAAAGCACGGGTGAGTATGCCTATAAGGTCATGTTTGTTTGTGTAGATTTTTTTCTTGTCATGGCATCACAGTATTTGGGTCCACGGGAGTGGTAAAACCCTCCAGCACTAGTTTACCACAGAGTCACAGAGCACATGCCATGTGCTCATCAACTGTTCCTGTCCCTGCTGTGTTATTCCCAGCATAAAAAAAAATGGATCTAACTCGTCATAGTCCATGCTCAGAGGACCTGGGCAGTGCAGGCCCTGCAGGCCATATAAGGGATAAAAGTGATGACCTTAAATCTTTAGAGAAAATACACTGTAAACTGTGACTTCCTCATCGCCCATCCCCAAACAAAACAAAATCTGAGCCAGTGAAGATGAGTGTGGGAACGCTGTCTCAGTAGCACAGCTGTTCTTCAGTTTCTGTAGGGGTGGGAACTTCATCCTCGTGCCTGTCAAGTGTTCATGTCTGTCCCCTGTAACTTGGAGGAGGCCTTCATTTACAAATGCAGACTACAGGACTCGAGGGAGAATGGCGGTTGGAGTCTGGCCCATAGGTGTGGGGTGACTTTCCATCACATGGTAAAAGCTAAACATAGGAGTTGCAAAGACTTATTGTGCAATGTGGTGACCATAGTTCTCAGTGTTCATACCATAAAATGAGAACTGTGTGAGGTGATGCCTATGCTAATTAGCTGGCTTAGTCATATCACTAACACTTGTACATGTATTTCCACACATTATGTTGTCCATGGTGAATACACACACTTTATCATGTGTTGCAAAGAGGAGTTAAAAAACAGCATCCAACTCCCTCCCTCCCCCCTCATTCCCTCCCTCCCTCCCTCCCTCTCTCCCTCCCTTCCTTCCTTCCTTCTCCTCCCCTTCCCTATCTCTTTTCTTCCATTTTATTTTAATTTATTCTTTGGTTTTTCTTTTTTGACCTATTGAAATTATTGATTCTTCACAATCACACACACACACACACACACACACACACACACACACACAGCACCCACACACCACACACACACACACACCACACACACACCTCACACACACACACCCAATCACACACACACACACACACACATCACACACACACACACACACCACACACACACCTCACACACACACACCCAATCACACACACACACACACACACATCACACACACACACACACACCACACACACACACACACACACACACACACACACACACAGAGACTGAGACTATAATTACATTGCATACCAGGAGCTGCCAATCTCCTTCTCGTCTTTCCCCTCAGGTGTCAGAGAGGGAGGCAAGGCTTCATTTGCTGAGGATTAGGGCACAGAAGCTAACACAAGACAGTCTGGGGACCTAGTGACAGGCCTGCTGAGGTGAGACAAAGCCCTCACTAAAAACCAAACACTCCACATGCAGATAGAAGCTCACAGGGAGCCTTTAGACCACTCTGGCGTCTGACAAAGACCTGTGCCCTGGGAGACAGAGCCAATTTCTGACCATATCAACTCCAACCTTGGAATGGGTCTGGGTCACAGCCTTCCTCCATCTGAGAGCATGTAGGCCTTCATGAGACTCAGGTGTGACCCATTTTAATACAGGGTTGGCAGCCAAAGGACCGTTTCCAGCATCCATCTCTCTACCTTGGACAGCATAGCTCTGTCAAGCCAGGGCTCTTAGTTGAGATACCACCTGAGCTCCAGTGGGACAGATGAATGCCTTGGACCACATCATCCCCTGCTGTGTGGGACTGGAGTGCCTTTCTAAGACAGTGTAGGTTCTTGAAGCTAGGAGACTTAGGTGTAACCTACTTAGCAACCACCTGTGCCAACACAGCTCTCACTAGGGGGATAACCAGGGTTGGGACAGAAAAGTAAGTGTCAGCTTGCCCATGAAATTTGGTGTTGGAGCAGCAAAAGCTAGCGGTGGAAAGACTATAATGCCCTCCATTGCCAAGCCTGCCTGTTGACGTTGCTCTAGTACTGACACCTGGCTACAGACTGTCAACTCCTGTCCTAATGAGTATCAACTGTCACTGGGTACAACCAGTCACATGTAGGTAGACAGTAGACACGCAGGGCATGGCCATAGCCCTGTTTTGTACTGGTGCTAGTGGCTTGTCAGCTCAGGGTGTGACACAACTTGATATCACTGGTTTGCACAGGTGCTGTGGATATCTGTACACTGTGTGAAGGGTGTATTTCTGTGATTGGTGTAATAAAGAGCTGAATGGCCAATAGACAGGCAGGGAAAGGTTAGGCAGGACTTCTGGAGACAGAGAGGAGTACGGGATGAAGAAAGGCAAAGTCATCAGTCAAACATGGAGAGGAGACAGGAAGTACAAGGTGGAAAAGGAGTTAACACCACACAGCAGAGCATAGATGAAAAATATGGGTTAATTTAAGTTATAAGTGCTGGTTGAGACAAGCCTGAGCTAAAGAACAAGCTTACATAACTAATAATAGTTCCCCAGGTCATTATTTGGGTTAGGGTTATGGTGGGAGAGCAAAAAACTTCCTATATTTGGTGTCCAACATGTGGCACATAAACAGAGTCAACTATTTGCAGCATCCAGAGGCCAGGCTCATTTAAGAGGCCCTGCTATGAGTAGCAGCTATGATGCACTACTCCGCAGCAGGGGACTAGACAGACACACTTGCCACTGCACAGGGACACAGGAGCTTCCCAGAACTGGGATGGCCAGGTACAGCTGGGACAGTTAGGCAGACCTGAAGGGGGCTGGTCCAGCCACAGTGCCATAAGTCAAAGCCATGTGGCAGAGGGCCTAGCCAAATAGTCTAAGATTTGTCTCACACAGTAAGAGAACACTGCAGGCACTTAGTAAAGTCAGGTCTAGACTGAGAAAGAAACCTCTAAACAAATACAATATGCTTGAGTAGGCTTAGGTGCTGAAAAAAAAAAGAAGAAGAAAATGGGCATAGATAGTCATAGAAAGAAAGCTTAAAAATAATAAAGTTTTTGGATAAAAATAAAGTAATATGAAACTAATAAGCCATGTAAAGATAGAAAATACATAGGGTGTCTAGATCCTGTCTGGTGCTTGGTTGACTTTGAATTTTTAAAACGCTAATGAACAAAGACAATACCTGCTGAGAGACATTAAATTATGGAAATGGCTAAATAAAACCAACTTATGTATTTTAAGAATGTATTAACTTCAGAATGGAAGTCAGAAAACATATCGTATTGGGGGAGAGGTTTTGCCTTCATTTACACAGGAAACAAAAAGTTATGGTTCTTTTCAAATTAATAAAGATCAGATTTGTTTAAGGGGGATCTTGGCTGCAGACATGAGGGGAAAAAGCCAAGAAAGACTACAGAGCAGGTGGTGTTTATACTGGTCCATCAATGTGGGAGCAGCTCTGAGACTGGATGAGACTTGGTAAATCATGTTGGCTACAGAGTCCTCATGACTTATTATTACATGCCATCCTTTCATATGGCATGGATAGAGGTTTGGTTATATTTTTTCAAGCAAACTTACATAGTTAACAGCTGTCTTTCACCCGCTCAAACATAAGACAACTTTAACTGACTTGTGCACACTGTATATTCCACACTTGGGTTAATGTACATGCATATGTTACCTTTAAAAGTTTGTGTGTTTTCAGACAAAATGGACCAGACACCAATGAAGACAAGTAGCCCAGGTGATCCAGCCTCTCAGAATGCCTCTGTTGCAGTTTCCTCAAAAATCTACATCAGAACAACTTAAAGCTGCTAGCTGAGATGGTCCAGCCTCACAGACTGCTCCAGCCAGGACTTCAGATAAGCCCCACACTTTCCCATCATACAGAGACTGGATGACAAATGATACAGCTAGCTCTCCCAGGACTTGACTATAATCCCAGCTTTCTCAGTGTTCCCTAAAGATGCTGGTGCTCCCAGACAACAGGAAGCAGTCTAGAGAACACAACAGCCACATTCCCAAGAGGTGGGGTGGATGGTTTTTGGTCATTTGATGGGTTATGGATGTTTGTCATTGTTTAGGGGGTTGGTTACAAGTTATTATTGGTAATGGTCAGAAAAGAGCTAAACAAAGGAAATTAGATTCAGGGATCTGGGGATATAGAATAAAAATGATAGGAGAAAAGGGTGGACTTTTGAGTCTACTTTTGAACAGCCTTAGTCTCAAATGCTTTACATTGGTATGGACTTTTGTATATTGGTACAAATTTAAGGTTATTTTTGTTATACTGTATTATATGTTTCTATTTCTTATTTAAGTTATTGCACCTATACAGCTCACTTTAAAAACTTGCTGGGCGTTGGTGGTGCACGCCTTTAATCCCAGCACTCGGGAGGCAGGGGCAGGCGGATCTCTGTGAGTTCGAGGCCAGCCTGGTCTACAGAGCGAGTGCCAGGATAGGCTCCAAAGCTACATAGACAAACCCTGTCTCAAAAAACCAAAAAAAAAAAAAAAAGTAATGTGAAATGTTAGTCTATGAAAGCTATTTAGGATAATAGAAATGGCTAATAGTAATCTATAAAAACAAAACTTACTGTCATGTTACTTACACTTTCAAGGTCACACAGAGATATATTTTCAATAGATATATGGTCTTCAAACACTTCCGAGACAGACAGAATATGGCATTTAAAATGTTTTAATAACACAAGGCTTTTCATGACAGTGAGAAGATCTGCCCCTGGCAGCACCAGTTTACTTCAAATAAAGGATGATGGGCACTGAAGAACCTCCATAAAGAGTTTGCTTCCAAAACGGCAAAGCTAGACACTTGGGCAAGAAACTGCCCTGGCCTTAAGTGCTGACAGTGTGCTGTCCCGACTGGACAATCAGGACACAAAAGAAAGTGATGGCCAAACTTTACCAAAAAAAGGTAGGACAGTCCTTCAAAATTCCTGCTTCCCTGAAAACTCTGTAGGTTAAAGATGGATGCCCCGCCTTTGTAGAGGAACCTTGGGTGACTGTCCAGCTGTCTCTGGGTGACTGTCCAGGCAGCCAGCTGTCTCTGGTGTTTCTACAGTTTCAGAAGTTGTTTGCTCTGCACTTTCTATTTACTCAGGTAATATTATATCTTTCTCAGGTCTCTGATGGACTTGAAGACAAGATATTTATAGTTATAGTTTTCCTTGTTATCCAATTCAGAAAAGAAACTGACATAAGAGATGTAAAGTTTATAAGGTTGAGAAACATAAAAGCTTAAGTTGTTTACCTAAGAAGATGTTTTTAAGTTCCAAAAATACAGTTTTAGGATGGTACTACAAGTTAGGGTAGAAAGTAAATTAGGTATAAAACTTTGGGACTCACTAAGATAGGATAGATAATATAGTACTTTCTCCAAATTTGCCAAATACCAATGGGCTGGACATTGTATGTCATGCCTCAATTACTGTGCTGTTGCTGTGAGACCACCATGACCATGGCAACTCTCATAAAAGAAAGATTTAACTGGGGGCTCACCCACAGTTTTAGCGGGGTAGTCCATGATCCCATGGTGAGAAGCAGGCAGGCGCAATGCAATGCTGGAGCAGAAGCTGAGAGCTTTACATACTGATTCACAGGCAGCAGGCAGAGAGAGAGAGAGACACTGGGCCTGCTTTGGGGCTTGGAAACCTCAAAGCCCACACCCTCAGTGACACGCTCCTCCAACAAGACCACACCTCCTCCAATGAGGCCACACCCCCTCCAACAAGGGCACACCTCCTAATCCTTCCTAAACATTTCATCAACTGGAGACTAAGCATGCAAATATGTGAGCCTATGAGGACTATTCTCATTCAAATGACCACAGCGGGCCATTAAGGAAAGCCATGGTGGGAACCCAGATGCAGGGACTGAAACAGAGGTCATGGAAGAGTGCTATTTACTGGCTCAACCTGTTTTCTTATACAACCCATGACTTTCTGCCCAGGGATGGTCCCACCCATAGTGGGCTGGACCCGCTCACATCAGTCATGAATCAAGAAAATGCCCCACAGATTTGCCTACAGGCCAATCTGATGAAAACAATTGCTTAATTGACATTATCTTGTCACAGATGACTCTAGCTTATGCTAAATTGACAAGAATACCAACCAGCAGTGTATCATGGATAGATCTGGTCTTGGGGTAGCCTCTAGTACCCAAACAGTGACCACACACCACGAGCAGACTCCTGACAGTTATACATAGATGCTGGTGACGTAGGAAGATGCAGGCTCCGGGGGGAAAAAGCGGAACTTCTTGAGCGCAGCCAGTACAGAAGGTTGGAATGAATAGCCGATCTTTCAGTGCCCAGAGCTGTCATATGCCAAGGTACCTGGAGCTTTTGGGAAACATTGACCTCACCTAGGGCTGATAGAGAGGTCCCAGACTCTGAGTATCTGCCAGTCGTACGGGAGGCACATTGAGAGTGTGAAACAGCTGTTTTAAGGGAACTCAGTTAGCTTGGAGAAAGTAGAAACATTTTGTGACTGTAGCAGAAAAACGAAAGCAATGAAACAATGCGACAGAAATCCTTGAGCTGAACAGTGCTCTCAGTGAATTTAAGAGTGCTTTGCCTGCACGTGAGGCAAGAGAAATAGAAATCAAACGTCAGAGAGAAGGAGTGCAGACAGTGAAACTGCACACGTGGAGGGGGAGCACTGAAGGGAGCGAAGGGAGCTGTGGAAAGGCGGGAGTGTTATCAGAGAAACAAATACTGAGGATACCAGGATTCAGAATTGACTTGAGGGTGCCAAGGACTAGAAAGCATTTCCCAAGAAGTGATAGCAAAACACACAGAAGGTTACAAATATCAGGAGAGGGTGGTCAAGATCAGCAGTCAGATTTAATTCAGTTAAGTCATGGATGAAAGATAAAGAGAAATGTTTCAATGTTTCAACAGAAAAGAAAGAGCATTTGGGCAGCCAGGTTCACATAACCACACCCCTCAGGAGAAATTTCACGGGCCAGGAGAGAGAAGCACCAGAGTTTATTTCCACTGCAAAAAACTGCAAAAATCAGCCAAGGGCATTGTATTCAGCAAAACAATCCCTTAGATATGAAAGAGAGACAGATTTTTTTCCCAGAAAAAAATGAAAGCTGAGAGAGTGCCTCCATTCAGTCTGCTGTACAAGCAATGCTAAAAGAAGATCCTGAAGTAGAAAGCGGAGACATTGATAAGTAAGGGGACAGCCTGGGAAGCTATGGAAAGGACAAATGTCCACTAAGGAAAACTGTAGGAGAGGGAGAGAAACATTATTAGACAACCAAGTTCCATAAGGTGTTTGTAAGACCTTTGTATCAATAATTACCTTACACATAAATGGATCAAATTCTTCTACTTAAAGGCACAGAATGACTGAGTGGATAAACAGTAACACCCAACTATATGTTACAAAAGCTTCCTGGACCTTTAAAGATATACATAACATGAATGTAAAGAGGGCAGGATTGTCCACATTAATATCAATGAAGCAGACCTTATACCTAAAAAGTAAAAATGGGTAAAAGAGGTTGTTATATAATAACAAACTCACCAGTTTAGGAATGCTAAACTTATAGGAACCCAGTATTTGAGGAGCTAAATATGTAAGGCAAAGTAACAATAGACCCAAAGAGATAGATACACCAACTAGTGGAACAGCTGAGGGTCTTAACACAGGCTTCCAGCAATGGGAGGTTATCCAAGCAGAAAAGCCACAAAGAAGCAGGGCAGGGAGATTTCATTTTGCATAAAATAAACCCAACACATCTACAGAACATTCCATTCAGAGTTGTCGAACCCACGTTCCCCACATCATTACAGGGACATCGTACAGGATACATTCTCTATAGGGCACAAAACAAGCCTGACAAAACTTTAAAAAGCTGAGACCATGTCAAATATCTTTTTCACTTAGAATGCAATTCAGCTAGAAGTCAGCAATGAGGAAAAGACTGTAACAAAACCACCAGTTTTTGGACACTCAATGGATCAAGGAAGAAATAAAAAAGAATCAGCATTTTCATGAAAATACTCAACATACCAATGCATATAGGATACAGCTAAGGCAGTGCTAAAAAAGTTTATACAAATCAGTGGCTATATAAAAAAATAGATTTGAAGCAAGTAAGCTGCCAGTAGAACAAACTGAATTCAAAAATCAGTAGAGGGAAAAATAAAATCACATAAAGCAGTGAAATGAGGACTATGGTGCAAAACCCTCATCAAGACAAAGGGTTGGCTCTTCAGAGAGGTGAAAAAAGAAAACAAAACAGACACAGAGACTCCCTTTAGCTAGTGGAACTTGAAGAGAGACAACTGTCACTCAAATAGAATTAGAGATGAGTGGAGACATTACCACACACCACAGAAACCCGCAAGGCTGTTAGTGATTTCTAGAAACATCTGCATGAAAGTTTCATAATTAGAGAGAAATGGAAAATTTGCAGACACATACACCTTAGGATTTAGAAAACTCTTACTGTAGGTTATGAAGTTGAAAAAGTAACAAAAAATTTCCCGTCAAGTAAAGTTTAGGACCAGGTGGCGTCAGTGTGGAATTCTACCTAAAACCCTAAGAGCAGCTAATGCCAATTTTCCATATTTTCTTCTGAACAATGAAAGACAATGAAATTCCTCTAAACAACAAGATGGCCACTGTCACCTTCGTGCCAAAAAAAGGTTAAGAACACAGCATAAGTAGAAAATGACAGGTCAGTGTACTTGCTGGAAGTTGACATTAAAATCTCCAATGAAACACCAGAAAATCAAATCCAATAGGGCATTAACAAATTCTTCATGGAATAAGATCACCCCAGGGATTCGCTGTCGGTTCATTGGGTTCGAATCAATAAATGGGCTACATCACATCAATAAAACGAACCTGTCCGATTGTTAAACACAAAAAGATTTTTATAGTTGGTTTGTTGGAGTCAAGATCCACTAAGAAGATGTGTTTCCCTATTTCTTTTTTTATTTACTTTTTCTCCATTTTTATTTGTTTATTTATTTTCCCCTATTTCTAAATACTGTCTAATGTGTATGCGTGTTTTGTCTGTTTGTGTGTTGGCGCATCATGCGTGTTCAGTGCGCTTGGGTCAGAATTGAAGGGCTCTCTAACAAGACCAAGCGAGACAAACATGGCACAGGCAGGTCTTGCCCTTCTCCCTTCCTCTTCCCTTGCTAAACCTTTAGATTGCACTCCTGAAGCTAGATCCCAGGATCAGTTCCTTTTTTGGCCACTCCTTTATGTTTGACTAAACCTTCAAGGTCCAACTATCAAAACAAGTTCCAGCAGTGAAGGGGGGAACTGACGACCACGCCCACTTGGGGGGCTGGACACAGGAAACGCTGACCACACCCACTTGGGGACTGGACACAGGAGATGCTGACCACGCCCAGTTGCCCTTTTTCCTCCTAAAAACCTACACCTGCAAAAACCACCTGTCCTCTGCTGTTCCAGATTCAAAGGCTTTCCCCCCCCATGCCATTGCTTGTCCCTCTGGGGTAATAAATGTCCTCTGTGCTGAGAATTTGGTGTCTGGGTGTGTTCTGTGCCCATCTGAGGCCTCTTACAGGAAGAGTGTGTGGGGCCCCCGAGACTGGAGTAGCAGACAGTTGGGAGGCTCCATGCGGGCGCTGGGAATAAAAGCCAGGTCCCCTGCAGGAGCCGCCGCCGCTCTTACTGGCTGAGCCCACTCTCCAGCCCCTTCTCCCACTTTTAAAGGTCACATGAGTGTCTGACCTATCACGGAAGAGAGTTCATTCTAAAGGGCACCAAGGGG